TAATTCTAAAACCAATGAAGTTTCCACAGATATATCTAACACATATTAAAAGCTTGCAACCACAATATGTTTAAATACTCGTATTTAAAAAAATAACTAAATGGTATTTATAATTAAACATTAAGTACTAAGCATAAAATAAAAGTAATACAATACACACAACCTATAGTGAAGCTACCAATTATAAATTAAGTTTTACAATATTTTTTTATAACTATTATATATGTACTTAATTTAATTATAAGCGATAGCCAACTGGTGCTAAGTTGGGCCGTAAATCGATAATCTTTCGTCTCGGAAACGTGAGCTCTTAAAAAAGATATTCTATTTAATTTATTCTAAATTGAGCCCACCCTTTTTTAACGTGTGTTCCAAACTATTAAACAGTAATAACTTATCCGACTTATTGTTGGTTTGCGCTTACGCTAAGGGCCGATTTCACCAAGAGTAATGATATAAGTTATTCTAGGATATCAAATTTTACATTTCACCAACAATTTAACCCAAGAATAAATAGTTAACCAAGAGATAAGATTTATACTCCCGATTTTGAAGGATTACGGAGTTATTCTTCGGTTAAAAATGGCCGACAGGCAGTCAGCTGTTAATTATTTGACATTTTTAATAGTCTGTCGCGTACGTCCAAGTTTCTTGTTCCTGAATTGATTAATAAATTTTAGTTTAATTATTATTGAGAGTATATATAATGCAACGTTTGAGAAGAATGATTAACAATAGTGACAGTGATGATAGTGAAGATGAAACATATTATGTTGTAAAACGTCCAAGGGGGATAAAGGAAAGGAATAATTATTTTTATGACTATGATGACGAAGACTTTAAGATAAGATTTCGGTTATCTAAATCAGCAGCTCATAATCTTTTGATCAAAATTGAAGATCATTTGGAATTTATATCTGAGAGGTGAGTCTTTGTACCTATTTATACTGTTCGTAGGTACATAATACGGCAATGAATTGCTCTAAAATAAAACTGTTTTGGTTTACAGGAATCAATCAATTTCTTCGATTAATCAGCTTTTGGCAACACTAAGGTTTTATGCTACGAATAATTCACAATTAACGATCGGTGATTTTAGTGGGCTCAGCACACCTACAGCACACAGAATAATACATAGAGTTAGTGCTGCGATAGCGTCATTGAACCACGAGTACATAAAATTTCCGAATACTCAACAGGAAATTCGGCGAAATCAAAGGGAGTCTTTATACAATCATTCACTTGCTCATTCAAATAGTCTTCCACAGATAAGTAAAACCGTTATTCAAAAGAATAGTTAATCTGAGGCTAACTAATCTGTTGTTTTGCATGGTGAAATGTACAGTAAGTTATCTGAGAGTAAAAGTACGGAATATCTTTATTCTCGGGTTAGTTAATCTTAGACAACGACGTCGTTGGTGAAATCGGCACTAAGTGTGGCAACTATGGCAAATATCCTATGTTCAGAGGTTCAATATGATGAATGAATGAATGGAAAATTGTTGACCTGTTCTACAGTAGTCATTTTTATGATACCTTTTTTATAGGATAGGGTGACAAACGAGCACACAGTCCACCTGCTGGTAAGTAATTGCTGTGGCCCATAGACATCTATCCTCGATTACGAATCAAAATGCAGATGCGTTATCACCCATAAGGACTAAGATGGAATGCCTCGTTTCTAGTAAAAAGGGTCTTCGGTTTTCTACATTTACCATACGAAAAACATTTTACGCTGGTATTCTGAGCATGGTCCTTCCCCGGTCGAGCCGACCCATTCGTGCTACAACTATACTACTAATATAACTGCAGCATCGCTCTACCTACTAAAAGGTGTCCGTCTCACTGACACAAAGACTAAAAAGCCAATTTTTCTATCTTTTGACACGACGCCCCCTCCCCCTCCGCTCACACTGTAAAAACTACTTTTTTTGGATGCAGAATATGAATAGTAGGGTTCTTATCTCTCTGTAATATTTATAAACTGTCATTTTCATCGTCATCGATTAAGGAAAGAACAAGAAATAAGTTGTTTTTGGTTGTTTCATTGTTATGAGCAGTTGTAGGACAGTGGACGTAATGTAACAACTGCAGTAAATTTGAGAAACGGTAATAAAACTTGTGAGGAAACCATATGTCTCTATTCTACCCTGGCAGCGTGTAAAATCTTTCCCGGTCGAACCTACCCATTCATGCAGCAGCCATAATACCTCTATTTATTACAGTCTACTGTAATACCTACACTTTGAAGACTATAGTATGAAAATTAGGAACGCTGAATAAACTGTTACAGAAGTAACATTAGTATTTATAGTTATTAAAGATAACTGAACATGAGGTTAACTAGCTGTCGAACACCTCAGTTTTTCCGTATATTAAAAAGTGAGTGCCTACTCTGTGGTTGCCACGTGATCGTAGATGTTGTGGAGCATTCGAAATGTTTAAAATAAACTGATGTTATAAGAAAGGTTTTCATTTTTTGTTGTGTATGTTATTTTCATTTTATTATTAGTATTTAGATTAAGATAACATATTCATATAATTATTTTTACTAGCACTTACATTTGTTATATATATACTGATAAGAGCGCATTTCGCGTTCAAAAGAACTCTACCAATGTAATATTTTATGTAGTTGTAAGACCGTGTTTATAAATAAAACTATTTTTTTATATAGGTCTAAAATCAATTGATGTCCATCACTCTCGCAAAAACTTTTAAATAGCTCGACATTTTGATGAATTTTTTTTTGATGATTAATTTGATGAATGAAGTTTCATGATGTTGTTAATATTATATTCAACGTAATGGTATTAAAATATACATCAAAACTAATCAATAACTGAAAAAATTTTTGAATCCATCAATAAATTGCTTAAGAAATACATTATTGACGTTTACGTATTTTGGTACGGAACGTCTGTGGTTACCGATTCGAATGTGACGCCAATACCCAAGATCGCGAATCATTCAAGTCAAGTACAAGTATTAGCTTCAGAGTCACACCAGGGCTCTTGCTTCATACGTGTTTATTTATATACAGTCGTTTGTTTCTTTTTTATTTATGAATGTGCAATTTTTATTTCACTATAATGGAAGAAGGTTCCGTCAAAGAACAAAGTGATAATTTGCTTAATATTGTATTATAAATCATTTTTAATGCCTTGCTGCGTTAAGAGGTCTCATGTTCTTTGAACGTGTTCGTGAAGTTGTTGTTTCATTGTCAAATTTAGCGGGAAATTTCTCAAAGCTGCATGCTCGATAGGATTTAAGTCGGTCGACTGTGCAGGCCAATCCAAAACTTGAATATCGTTTTCTTGGAGGGCGGCCGCCACCAGCCGCGCCGTATGGGAAGAAGCATTATCGTGCGTGTTTAGAAATTCCTGGACCATTTGGATTCTGTGTGGGACAATAACAGGCTCTACTACCTCCTCGTGGTACTTTGTGTAGTTATGCTGCCTTGGATCCAAACGAGTTGGGTTCGTCCGCCAAGACGAATTCCTGCCCACACCATGACTGTCCCGCTTGGGTATGAGTGGAACTTCTGAGCGTGCTGTAGACGGCTAACTCTCTGAAGTTCTCCAAATGCGTGTTATTCGTGAATACGGATAAAACCCAAACCTAGACTTATCGGTGAACAGCATCAAAGAAAATTGTTCGTCAATCCATGGTAAATGATCCCGAGCCCATTAAAGCTACCGACCGCCAACTATGATTTCTAAATAAGAAACGTTTCATAAACATATTGTAGCTAAGTACTGATTGCTTGAATCGTCATGTTTATAATATATACGTGTATTGCCTGCTGTGTTGTAGAAAATGATATCAAATGTATCTATATTTTTTTCACCTGTCGAGCATCTTATCGAGATGAAGTTATTGGATACGTTTTAGTGAAAGCATGAAAAAATACATCAACATTGCAAAATTGACAGCGAACTATGAAGCTCAACCATTACCATAATCATTGTTCTTAATATATATTGAATGTTCATTTAAATATATATTAAGAACAATGATTAAATAAAACTCTATAAGCTTTGATTACACGTTAATTAATTTCTGTTGAACATTCACCATAGCACAAGCAATAGCAACGATGGCATCTAACAAATAAATTACTTTAGTTTCGATGCAAGCCTGACGTGCTACCATAGAAAATTTTCTTAATCTGCCAAATGTTCTTTCAACATTTATACGGAGCGATGTTCTGGATGCGGAGTTTCGAAGTAACTTTGCTTTCGGTTACGCTTGGAGGCTTTATTAGATGACATCCTTTACTTTGTAATGAGTGGGATACGTTTTTAAATCCTCTGTCAGCCATTACAGATCATCTCGGTGATAAATATTGCAAAAAGCCACAATCTTCAAATATAATTATGTCGCTAGCTCTGCCCACATAACCTTCAGAAACGAAGTTGATAAGTCCACAGAAGAAAATATACTCAGACCACATCAAAGCCTGTTGCTTTGCATTTGAAGGTTTTTTGATTCTTACAGTCCAAAATACTTACTATAATTGAATATCTCTTTCTAAAGGATATCGAATTTATTCGATAGGTGAAAAATATATTAACTGTTTCATTCGGTCAACTATAAAAGGAACAGTTTTATTGAATATTTTATTAAATGAGATTTCACATATATCAAAATCTTAAGCCAGACGCACATAAAAATCGTCTAAACTCATTTTCTTCAATGATAACTTTTATTATTAAAATATCTCATATGGGACTAGCAACACTTTCATATAGTAGTTTCGTAAGAAAAAAAATATCTTTTGGCAGTCCCATATAAAAAATAATGTTTTTAGTTATTTTGTTTATGGTATAATTGCGATATTGAGGATTAATTGTGTTTGACAAGGAACTAGATGAACTTTTACTGTTCAGTGAAAATATTGATGCTTTTGAAGAACTGATTGGAGAAGATACCAATATTCTCGATGGAGAGTGCTGAGGAGATTCATAAACGATTTGGGAGCAACTATTTCCTGTACCTTACACACTGTTCCTTCTTATGTTTGTTTGCACTGCTTGATTTTTCTGTGAAGTCTTTATATTTACTTGAACTCCTTTGTTTCTCTTTTTATTTAGAAAATTAACTGATTCTTTAAAAGTTATGTTCTCTGATAGCGGATCCTCTGTTTCATTCAACTCCATTTCATCACACTCAATCATTTTAAAATATTGAAACGAAAACGAATGTCTTAAAGTCGGCGGTACTTCTTTTGCTAATTGATTTTCATAAAATTCAATTCGACGTCTCTTTTCATATGCTCCTCGTTCCTTTTGAGGTTTTACTGCCTTTTTTACTAACAATACAATATTTGTAGGCATTTTTTTCTATCTTCTACCATCGGGTAATAAACAAAATATCGAACGGCAAAATACACAACAATGTACGTACTCGGCACTCCGGCGAATACGTAGTACGTACTACGTACGTCCAAGTCAGACGCAGTACGCAGCAGTACGTATTACGTACTGCTGCGTACTGCGTCCAATGTTGCCACATGGAATTAGTGAAGGTCTCTAGACTGCCATCAAAAAGTCTCTAGTTATAAGTGAATTTAGTAACAGAAAAAGTCTCTAAATATCGCTAAATATAATATTATATATATATATATAAATATATAAATGAAGAAAAGAACTAAAATTCTAACTTGACATGAAATTTTCGCATACATTTCTACATTTCAGTAGGGCATGATAAATGTTTTTGCATCGTCGGTCATCACCGGTTTTAACCTTTTAAATTCGTCTTCCCATTCCTTTTTGAATTTTTGACTGCCGGTTTTTTTCTTCAGCGGTATATTCATTTTATAATCTTGATTAATAATAAATTTAACTAAATAACAAACAATCACTTTTAAATGGAAACATACACGGGATACACGGGAGATTTAATAAAAACCACTAAACGTACCACTTACGTAAGTATTGCGCGCAACAAGACTAAAGTGACAAGAATGAATATTATGAATATAACTATCGAGGAAGTCCCGACAAAAGCAAATAAAACAGATAAAATGTAAACAAATAAAGAGTGAAAACAACGTGGTAGGTGTAATCCGACCAAATTAGGAAATAGCTTATTCTCATTTTAAATAAAACTTTTAATAACAATTCTCTATTGTCATAAAATAAGTTAATAATAATACTTTAAATAATACTATTTAAAATAAGTACTGTGTAAAATGATTATTTGACTTTTAGTTGCTTTAGGATTTATAAGGCGTTTCATTTTTATTTTAAAATTATTTCTCACGTATGTTACGTTGTTATTAATTTTAATTTTGAAAGCAAGAGATTTTGATGAAGTACATGTTATGTGATTTATTTGTAACAGGATTACCTATTACAAATAAATAACAACATTTTTCCATTAGGAATATTGTTGTGTATCCAAAGAACCTTTGTTTCGGTTCCTTTACATTTTATAATTTCGTTAGTGGATAGAGTACATATATTCCTTACGCCTAAAGTTGTCAGATGGTACCAAAAATTGAAGTATGTACAGATTGTGCAAATGTCGCTTAAAGTCGCCAGAATATTTTTTGTCCCTAAACATTGAATTAAACTCCCTAAACTAACAAAAAAGTCGTTAGATCTAGCGACAAAGTCGCTAAAGTGGCAACACTAACTCCGTCGTCTAGGTCAGATGACGTCACACGCGAGCGCCACATTTTAACAAAAGTACCCGGATGACCGAGCTTTGCTCGGTTTTTTTAAGTTACATTTATATACAAATTACATAAATAATAGTTTTTGATCTTATTGACATAATAGAAAAAACTGAACTGGTTATTTGAATAAAAAATCATGAGTGCAATTAGATTAATTAAAATTTTCGTATTTTTGAAAAGTACTAAAAAAAAAGGGCTCGAAATAATAGATTTTCTCACAAAAGAAGGGAACTTGAAAAAAAAAGGAAAAAAATCGGACTCAAGACGGGACGCAAACCACGGAACACCGATATCACGCCCGAACAACATCCCATCTGAGCTATTACGATCGTTAGTAACCTTCTTATATTGTAGCAGTTTTTTTATTGCTTGAAAACACGGACAAAGGGGCATTTTCCAAAAATAAATCCTAGCTAGATCGATTTATTGCCCCCGATTATATATATATATATACAAGAATTGCTCGAAAGGTTAGGATTAATCTTGCAAGCGCAAATTCAGAGTCCCATAACTTATTCCTTTCTAGAGATATTTTGTTGATTCTTTCACGTGTTTGCTTTTATTTTACTCATTTTTTTTAATTTATTCATAAAAAATGGAAACTTCTACATTGGACCCGGTAGGTTATTAGGCTATTGTTGAGATCCAGAAATCACCCGTGCAAATCCGGGGCGGATAGCTAGTTTTTGATAATTTTACGTTAATATTTCCCTATATAAAAAAGTACTCTGTGATTAATATATTAAATGGTTAGACCTATCAATAACCTAGTGATTAGAATTACTTTAAAACCATGGAAGAATGCATCTAGTATCGCCCTCTATGTTTGCGTCAGCTTTTCATTTCTACAGTTTTATCACGTATAATTAACAGTGCAGACATCACATTACGAGAGTCATAAAGATTTCGACGAATTACAGCAGATGTCGCCAGAGTACAGGAATTATGTGTGCTCTACTTTAAATTTTTAGTTATCAACATATTGTACTAAGTATTTGTTATTAACTCTTATTTTCCATTGAACTGATGTTATTGGTATTGCGTTTGCGATTTTCACTGCGTTTATTTCTCTACCAGCGAGCTTCAAAAAATGCTTAAAAACTTACCTTTAATGAATTTCATCGTTTGGTACATTATCTTAAATTAAATGTTTAAGTGAATAAAGTTATTTAATTAACTTCTGTCATTGTTGCTAGGTAGAGATTGTATAATTCAAAATTGAACGATTTTGTTAGGTACATTTAACGAATTACAATTGTAAGTATCGTGAAATCTACATTTGTGCGTCTGATCTATAGTGTTTTATTAGAGTATAGCATTTTTAATACATTTTAAATGACAAAATCTAAAAAAAATGACTAGGCAAAAGCGTGCAGTTTTAAATTATGATCTTCATGTCTACGTTCTACTACAGAATAAACAATAAATTAAAGAAGTAACGTTAAAATATTAATACTTTTTAACAGTAACCGTGGTTAATCCGTTCAAGCAGTAACACTTACTGCACAGTTTATTATTAAACGTTAACTGGCAGAGCGGTGAGTAAAGGTATGAAGCATTTTATTCTACATTTTTTATTTATATTATTTATTTTAATAATATTTTATTTTCTTATTTATATTTATATTATGAAAATTATATAATACATCAATAGCTTGACTTCTAGTGCATGAGATGTGATATTTTAAGTTAAAAAAAGACAAAATGAAAACATTTCATCATATTACGAAATACTATTTAGAATTTTTTAGAACTTAGAACAATAGTTTTAATAGGCGGAAATCAGAATCTTCTAGGCATCTGGACAGTACATTTGTTTTTATCTTAATAAGGTGGTAGGTACGAGGGTCGGATTAAAACTTAAAAGCCCCGAGTTCTTAGAAAATGGCATTTTGCGTGGTATAGGAAGTTGGAAAAGAGCTTGCACTTGCAAGTTAAACTCGTTTTCTGCCTGGGATTTCATCTAAGTACCAGGCTCTCAGTTATTTCTGCAAGCAGTACGTAGTTGACGAAAAGTTCTGTTTAGGTCTAAAGGGTACAAAGAGATATTACAACTACAGGCTGTGAGGCATCTAAGTCCTCAGAGGTAACAACGCTACGTCTTTTATTTGTTTCTTTGTCATTTAATATTATTTATAAGAAAGAAATACTAATATGCGTTTCGGAACTCAAATTGACAACGTCAGCGATATTAATAGTAGTAACAGCATATATACGTCCCATTGCTGGGCACAGGCCACCTCTCATTTCTGAGAGGATTTAGGACAATGGAGGGTCCACCGCGCTGCCTCAATGCGTGTTGGCTGACTTCACATGACTTCGAAATATTTTCTTTTTTTTTCTTTCTTATTTCTTAGACATGCAGGTTTCCTCACGATGTTTCCTTCATCGCCGAGCACGTGGTAAATCAGCACTTAAAATTGCAATTAACAATTTCATTGGTGCCGGCGAGTATCGAACCCGGGTAGCTTGCGTACTGTGAGATTTATAGCGAGCGCTAACCATCTGAGTTACCACGGCTCCTTAATTAATAATAACTTACTTGTTTTATAATGTGTAGTAGGATATAGTCCTGTCGGTAAACATTATATACCGAGAGTCGTGGTCGCCATAGACACCTACTATATCTTTCTTGGATTAACAATTAAAATGCAGATGTGTTGTCACACTTGAGGATTAATATAAAAAGTCTCATTACTAGTAAAAAGCTGCCTGCAGTTCTCGCCACTCATCATAAGAAATACAGAAATATTATGCTGCTATTTCATGTTGATATTCTGTGAGTGTTCGATCCATTCGCACTGAAGTCATAATATAGCTGTAGCATGGATCTACCAAGTATAGAGTCACTTCACACAAAAGGCTATGAGTTTGTTTTTATTACTTTCTTTTATGACCGCGTGTTTTAGTGGCAGGTGCCCTGGCTACTATGCTGGGGGTTTTAGAGTCGATTCTAAGGTCCATAATACAACTGTAGCGTGGCTCTACCAAATAAAGGGTCACTTATTGTGTTTGTTTTCTTTTACTTTCTTTGGTGTCCGAATGTGTGGCAGTTCGATTCTCAGGACCATAATACAGTCATAACGTGGCTCTACAAAATATAGAGCCGCTTACAAAGCTTTGTGTTTGTTTTCTTTTACTTTCTCTGATATCCGCATGTTTTAGTGGCAGGTGTCCCATGCTATTATGCCGTGGGTTTTGGGTTCGATTCTCAGGATAATAAAACAGTTCTAACGTTGCTCTACGAATTACGAATACGATTCGCTTGAAATGCTTTGTGTTTGTTTTCTATTACCTTATTTGATGCCTACGTTATAATAGGCCTCCCCTACAGATTTCCATATAGGGGTAATATTTGCTACATGCGTTTTGTGGTTGTTATTAGAATGACGCTTTTGCCCATAGACTGCTTTATTATCCTTTGTCGCCTTTAATGAAACCCTTGGGTTGATATGGCTTGGTGGATATTCTTACATCTCCATTACACGGGTAAAAATTAAAAACATGTAGATGTAATGTAAATGGTATAAATCTTTCATAACAATACTATATTTCACCTTCAATAAATTACGTACAATAGGTTGATGTAATATACATTATGATTAAGTTCTCTTCATGCGATATAAAACGATTAGGGTAAAAACGTGAGTGAGTGGCATCCGCTTCCACTGCGACTATTGTTACTACCGTGATCGGTTCTGTAAGTAAACATACTAAAAATGTAAGCAGTTTCGTCAACATTCAGCGTATACATTACCAGCGCAGTATAGTGTAGTTAAAAGCTGGTACGTAATAAGTTATCAGTAGAATAGAAAGTCGCATAATGTTTAAGAATGGATGGAGCGTCGCTTCGTAGCGGAGTAGCAAGTGAGGCGTGTCTACGGCCCGGCGGTGGGCGAACAGGACAGCGATAGGATCGAGCGGGAGCGGGAGCGAGTCGGTGAGCGGTAGCGGGGCGCGGGCGGAAGCCTCTCGTTCAGTACACCGCCGCGCGTCGCTCGTAGTGCCCGTCTCCGCTTCCGCCTGCGCGCCCGCTCCGCGATGAAGGCGAAAGTCAAAGGCTCAAGGTCCAAAAACATGGACAAGCTTATAGCGGCCGTGCAGGCCAGGGAATGTTTATGGGACAAGAGTTACAGAGGACACAGGAATCGGTTTAAATTGGAGAGATATTGGAACGAGGTCGCCGCTGAAGTTGGGACGACCAGTGAGTGTTATAAAGCGTATTCGTTCGCTTCGCTTGTTAAGGTGAACGCCCGTCGGGTCGGCCATATTGGTTTTTCGATTTGTTTTTGTCTCGCGCAGGCCCGTTTAGTATTGAGTTGTTTAAGAACATTCGGTTGAATGAAAGACAGGTTACGCAGATATCGCTAATTTTTAAGATAAGAATGTGTTTGTTTATTTACAGAACACGTTTTCTCACGGCTTATGACTTCGTACTTATATTATTTTATATATTTTATCATTATCGTTAACCGTAACAATATTAAATATAATATAACGAGCAATTTATAGGCAGTAATAGATGGATGAATGGATACTCTTTATACCTACTAAGAGATATAAAGTCTGGACAAAAAAGGTTTAGGCGTTCTCCTTAAGTTTAAAAAAATATTTATCGAAAATTGATGCATTAGTAGTGATTATATTTAAGTATTTATTTATTCAATAATTGGTAAAATAAAATATCGATTTATTCAAATACTAAAATGATAGAGGTTTGAAGTTGTGCGCGCATTACGGAAAAAATACTGGATAAATTTCAATTAGGTTTTCTAAGTTTTATTTCGAAGACACTTGGTCCATATCTAAAAAGAATTATTGCAATATCTTCATTTAATATAAAGTTATTTAAATTTTCCAATACAAATAAAATATCTAGACCTAACGCTAGTAAATGAGCGCGCGTAGGTACCAAATGCGTTATATTAGAAGCATTGACATGATATCATTAAGTGCATTTTTGGAATATTATACTTGAATTTTAAAAAACTCCTCTGCGTTTATGTTACTGACTTGAAATAATTACGAAATTAAATACAAATAGATAAAGAAATAACATAAATAAAACAAACAATTACACAAAGGGCAGATTCAGTCTAGTGATAGAGTGTTTATAGAATCAGTGAAACGGTTGTGATTTGGCTTATCTAAGGCTGCTAATGCTCTTAAATTAAGATTTTGTTTGCCAAAGCTTATTTTTGGTCTAATACAATTTAAAAATGAGGTGGTCCTCTGATCGGAGAACAAATTGCGAATGGAACTTCGCAGGTATCTTTTTATTGTAATTTCAAGCCCAAACACAACACAAGGCAATTATTAAACAAAGTTATAAGAATTATAGGTAGAACAATTAGTTATTGAACAACTTTTACAATAAAAAGGAGGAAGGAATAACATTAGACCGTCCACATACACACGGGATTCCGTCAGGATTCCGTTTCGGAATTCCGAAACGGAACGAACGGGTCGGCCGCGCACAAACTGAATGCCGTTTTGCCTGCAAAATTCCGTACGGGAAACTACCGAAGTGTGTGACGGGTCATTGATTTATATGGACTTGCTGCGTTCGGAATCCCGAATCGGAATTCCGAAACGGAATCTCGAAACAGAATTTCGTATGTGGCGGGCCTTAAAGTTAGTAAGAATTATTTCGCCCATATCCGCTTAATTAAATCAAATGATGTGTCTTACCTAGTTTGAAGAGCACCTCCCGCCATCCCTAAACTGCGTGCACTATCCCCGTCACCACTAATCCCAACATCACTACTACTAACACAACTACATTAGGAAAGACACACCACCGATGATAATATTATATTATTTTTCGAATATTACATCATTTTATTTCATTAGGCGGATATGGCCGAAGTAAATCTTACTAACTTTAATATAATGGATTTCTGCAAAGTAGCGCCTGCTTCTATAATTTACTAGGAATAACAATTTTCCGAGTTTATTAGTGCACAGCAAACTAGGACAGTTGTTCTCCTCCTCATTTTAAATAAACATTCCCTTCCCACATACGTAACATAAACCGCTGCAAGCAGTGACAGTGACCTACAAATGATAATGCCACAGTCTATCAATCAGAGCGAGCTCTCTCGTGTCATTGGAACTTTTACCAGTACCAAGTTATGATTTCTTATATTTACGCGAACATTACACATTGATTAAAATCACTTTTACGGATTTAACCTCGTTTAATTTATTTTATTTTTAAAATCCGACCAGCTGAAAAGCACCCAAAACGTCATGTATTAAAAATAAAATAAATTAAACGCGATAAAATCCATTAAAGTAGTTTTAATCAGTACCAAGTAATTGGAAATAATTGTTTATAATAATTTATTAACAAAATTCTCCTCATTATTTTAATGCGTCGTAAAACAGCCATAATAGTTTGAGGTTAATATCGCCATCGGAATTAAGAACACGTGTTTTGTCGTTTAAAATCATACTTCTATTCATCATAAAATGTTAAGACTAGGTCAACAATTCATAGAATATATCCGGGAAGCATTTAGTCATACAAAAGTATTCCTCCATTTTCTCCCTGAATAATGACACTGCATATATTTCTATGAAACAATTTAGATTTTTAAATATATACTAGGAAACCTAATATTACTAAAACTGCCTGATGAGTGCTGTTGTTAAACATCCAGCATCCAGAAAACAAATTTAACAAACATATTATAACTAATAAAACATAGCCATTATCTTTCTTATATTTTTTATATTGTTACTTACTTACTTACTTCTTATATTGTTTTCGAAAACAAAATCTAAACCAGTCCAGTTTCGGAAGAGAAAACATATGAATGGGGTGATGGTGACCCGGCGTGACGCTGTCTCAGAAGAAATAATGGTGGAAATATCGTTTTAAATTTGGAAGAGTTAAATTGTTTAATTAGGAATGATATAATAATAACTACTCTCTAATACGTGGTAATTATTTTAACCTACCACGTAATTTTTTTACGTGGTAGAGCCATGCTGCAGTCATATTAGTAGTGGGTCGGCTCGACCGGGAAGGACCACGCTCTCACAAAATACCAGCATGAAATAGTAGCTTAATGCTGCTGTATTTCGTATTGTGAGTGTAGAGAACCGGAGACCCTTTTTACTGGAAACGAGGCATTCCATCTTAGTCCTCACAGGTGACAACGCATGTGCATTTAGATTTGTAATCGAGGATAGATGTAGATGTCTATGGGCCGCAGCAACCACTTACCATCAGGTGGACTGTGTGCTCGTTTGTCATCCTATCCTATAAAAAAAAATTGTCAGTACGATATGTACGCCAACTAATATAAGTTAATTGTACTGTGCCTATAACCTTCGCTTCTTCGCAAGTGCAAGCAATAAGTTGACAAAGTTTTACCGCAATTTCACGAACGGTATGGCAGCGCATAATATACGAACAAACAAACATTAGTTTTTGTATATTAGATGATAATGAGTCCGAGCTATAATTGCATCCTCGACTGTGACGAATCCATTGTATTTTCACGAGTAAAGCCACCCTACAACTGTTTATTACGGCTGCAGCGTGATTGATTCAACTCAACCAGGGAAGGATCATGCTCTCACAGAACACACTGCTTTGTTTTGGATACTAACTAAAGAAAACTGAAGATTTTTTTTACTAGTAACAAGGTATTTAATTTAGTGCTTATGGGTGACATTACACTTTGATTCTTAATAGATGAAAGATGTAGATTCTGGGTTTATTCGCTCGGTAATTCGAGCAAAGCGCGACTACAATAGACCATTAAAAACCCATCCTTAAAACTTTGTTGCAGCCCAGATATCCAAAACTTCTCTTTATACTTTATCTTTAAGCTAATGTCTCCATCTTAATTGTAGTAAGGTTGTCTTTCTCAGGGATAAAATATTACATTGTTGAACAAATTCTAATCTGAATTCTTAAACAATCTTTAAAGCTTGAGTAAATAGCATTAAAATGAATTCTAATAAATAATATTAAAGTATGTTTGACGAAAAAAAATGATATAATATACTGTTACCTTTACCGTTACAGTCAATTATAGGGCACCGCTGAACCAAAGTTTAAGGACCTTAGCTGAACATAACCTCTCCCACGGGCAATCCATTACACATTGTAGGGGGGATAATTAACATAGCCAAGCTTAGCAAACAGGTTGATAACCGCAGTTTTTTTATTTTTAGTCGTTATTAGGATGCTGCTGCTCATCTCCTGATTTGTTGCCCTTTGTCGCCTCTTACGACACTATAGGGTATTGGACATTCTTACACCGCTACTACATCATGGCTATATAATATAATATAAGTAGAATCCGCAAAATTAGTATTATTCGATATGTAGTATTCGTATATAACTCGTATAAGAAACTACTAATTTGTATAACGAATTTCAGGTCTTAACTGTAGAAAAAGGTGGAAGAACCTTAAAGACCAATGCCGGAAAGAGATGAAAAAGAACCCCAACGACTCGGAATGGCCGCATTTCCAGAAGCTCAAATTCATTCATCACCAGTTCCTGGCTGAGGACGAAGAAGGCGATGAAGATACCACAGACGAAGTTTACAACGCTCTGGATGAATCTATTAAAAGACCTAAACTGGGGTATACTATGAGAAAGAAATTATTAATGAATAAACGTAGAACAATTGACGTTGACATGAATAAATTGATAGATTTGGTTCGCCCGAGGGACTTGATTTGGAACAGACAGTTAAAAGGACACCACAACTGGTACAAGCTCGACGAGAGTTGGAAGGAGATCGCTCAAGAATTGGGTGTCACACGTAAGTTGTGTCTTTTATATTGTCAGCTCCAATTTTTAAAATTAGTTTAAAAAAAAAATGAAAGCTGTAAAAGGAATAAAATTGTTTCACATTGTGAAGTTGGTGCTACGATATAGTGTATAGAAGAAATAAAGATGCCATTTAAGGATGTGAAATTATTTATTCTTTTCAGTTTTTTGAATTCAGCTGTTAATTTTACTCTTAAGTTGACCGAGGAATATCAAAATTCCAATGTCTAGTTTCATAAAAAGTTTAATCCCTTATTTTTCCGTTCTTCGGGGTGGAATTTTGTCTTCAAATTTATGTGTAACGACCACTGTAGTATAACCCATTTATTAAAAAAAATATTTGAATCAGTTCACATTGACTAAGATATCGCGTAACTTATTTTGAAGTCGGTTAAAATATTAGGGTTTTTATTAAAGTATGACGAGCACATAATCCACCTGATGGTAAGTGGACGCTGTGATCCATAGTAACCTAAATCCGTCCTCGATTAAGGATCAAGATGCGATACCGTTGAGGACTAAGATGAAATGCCTCGTTTTCAGGCAAATGGATCTCAAGCCCAGCTCAGCATTTTTTATAGAAGAGGGGGCAAACGAACATGCATATAACATCATCTGATGGTATGTGTCGACCAGGGGAATTATAGATACGTTTTAAAAAGTTTTTAGGGTTTCTTTATCAAAAGAATAAAAACGGAATTTTTATACGATAACTTTGTAGTTCGCCTGTCACATTTGTGTATGTCGGTCAAAACCCTTTTGCTCTGGATATAGCTATAAGCTGAAATTAATATCGATTGATGAATAGATGTATAAAAAAATTAAGTTTGTCCTTCTATTGAGCTTTATTTAATTCCATACAAATTATCACACATAATAAAAATTATGAAAATTATGACCTGAATTCTATTTAAAGCACAGATGAGCATCATTGTGCACATCTTTGTTATTGATATTATACGCGTTATTCGACTAAACCTTTGTCTTTTGTAATACGTACAACAAGAGAGTGGAATAATTTGCCGGCGTCTATCTTTCCATCCGATTACAATGTGGGTGTTTGGATTTACCATAATCTACGCTTGGCTGGTAGATTGACAAACTGTTATATCTAACCCTTATATGGAAATATTGATTTTTAAGTATATTTACTTTCGAATGTATTAATTTATCCATTGCTTAGACGATGTAAAGGCACCGCGCATCTTTTTGTTTACTTAAAGGTTTTCATAGTTAAAGAGTTTTAATAGATTTAAGTTACTCCGCGTCCAGGCCTTAACCGAATGAATTTTTTTGCAATTCGGCATACTTCTAAGATTCTCATTTAAAAGGCTTTAGGCAGTAAATAAAGTAAATCCCGGCTCCAAACAGAATGCGGAATCGCACTTTGACGCCGCTGCCCGTCACCAGTGTTAAAATATATACCCTAAGTACATAATTAATAAACATAGGAAATTTATTTTCTATTCCAGGAGATGAAGCTCGCCTCAAGTGGAAGTATCTGAGGGACCAAGCGAGAAAGGAGGTCCGCAAACAAGACTCCGAATGGGAGTACCTTCCAAAGCTGCAGTTCCTCACGAACCAGTTCAACGATTACGAGAGCATCGACAACACCGAGGAGCAATATTCCCAAGAATACGAACCAATAGAACCGCCAGCTTCTTACTACGTGGAGCCGACTAACGAAGTGAGTGAAGTCAGCGTTAAGGAAGACGATTTTGACGAATTTGATACGAAACCTATTATCATGGAAACGGATTTCTATGACGATGATGATGAAGCTCAAAGAAGCGCTGCGATCAATGAAAGCACTGAACCAGCTAAGGACGAAGACATAGGTTTCTTTAACAGCTTACTTCCTCATGTCAAAAAATTGGGACCGGCGAAGAAACTGATGCTACGAATGAAGATCCAAGAGTTAGTCTATAACACTGTTTACAATGAAAATTAAAAGTATAACGTTATTTTTATACAAGAAAGGGTAAAAAAGAAGAGCACAGTCCACCGTACGGTGGTTTGTTGCTGTGGCCCATAGAAATCTTCATTCAACCTAGATTTGGAATCAAAATTGTGTGATATGTATAGATGTATTAAATTATCGACTACCGGGTACTATCATCACGCGGGTGTTATAAGAGGCGACATAGGAAATGAAACAGAGATGGTATCAGCAACATCTTCCTGATAACAACCTTAATTAATAGAAAACTCGGTAGTTTAACCGCCTGCCTAGCATGCCAACTTTGGCAAATATCCACCCTAGGCGGCAATCTATGGGTTAGGCCTGTGTTCAGCATTGAACTTTTGATAAGCTGTAGCGACGATAAAGAATCAAAACGCAGATGGGTTATCAGCCCTGAGGACCAAGGTGGAATGCTTCATTACCTCACCACTAAAAGGATCTTTGGGCCTTTTCAGTCCACGTAGGAAATACCGGGGCAATATGCTGCCATTTCACGTAGCAATTTTTTTTTGTATTGCAGCCGTAACACGCTACACACTGGGTCTATAAACATTATAATATAATATATTTCTGAATGGCTATGAGGTCTAGTAGGTTATTTCAGTACCTGCCTTTTCATTTTCGTAATGCTAAATTTGTTTGTTATCCATATTTTATATCTACCTTTGGTAAACTAGAATAAGGTGAACTTGAAACTTCGGATAAGTATTTTTTTAAGTTTTTCATAGCGTACTCTTGTTTAAAATATTTATCTCTGCATAATTATGTCGTAATTAGTAATTATTATTGAAATGTGTTACGCATAGTATATATATTAATAAGTGTTCTAATTTTAATTATAACTATTTTTAACGTGATAACAAATTATTTAGCAAAGACCCGCTTCAAAAATATAAATAATGTCTTAGGTACCTAGTTAGAAGAGCACATCAACTAGGTAACTCATCATTTTATTATATTATTCATATTTATCTTGGCTAATGATTATTTAACACCTTTAATATAATGTTTGTCCGCAAATTAACGCCTGATTCTATTCATTATATAAATAATGTTACAAATGTGTTTAAGATCTCTAACACCTGAAGTATATACGGTAAAGAAATACGGTAGAAATAATATACGGGACTAATATGAATATATTATACCTTAGAGTATAAATAAGCTATATTCTTGTGTATACTCTTAAGTATAAAATAGAATACATTGATAAATTTTCATAAATAGAAACTAAAGCCATAATGACGTTAATACTAAAAATACTTACGAAATACTCAATACGTGCTGATTAGATGCCTAATATTTTGTCCGTACTTTATAGTTTTAAACATTTTATATTTTATAATTTAAGCTTATAACACACGCACATTTGTACGCAGAACATAAGTCTATTTAATTTTAGTTTTGTAATATAACATGAAGAAGTTATGAAATGCAGGAAAACAAAGTACGAAAATAGTTTACTAAATGTCTATCATACTTAATTATTTATAATTTATGTGTAACTTTGTGCACAAACTATAAGGAAACTTACCTTTCGTGTACATTTAAAAATATGATCTATATTAATTGTATGATCTTACCATTCCATAATATTTTTGAATAAAATAAGTATTAATATTCTAACAAAGAGGTAAGGATAAGACCTATTAATGTTAAATATACTTATTATTGACATAGTTTTATTTATTTTTATTAATAAATATGAAAGCCATGGCAGCAGCCTAAAGGTGCTCGGACCCAAATGGGAAGTGTACCGTTCGGGTACCACATCTTTTCATACTAGCTGAGGCGTAGTCTTGTTGACTAAGGGTGTCTAAAACCAATACACGAGCTTTGAATGAGAACGATACCCGCACTAGAAACAGAGTATTAAAGCTTGATAAACCGACGGAGGAAAAGGGTTCTTGAGTAGAGTTCTTCTACCGGCAAAGAATAATAGTTAGTATGTATGTACTGGTTATCGGAGTGTAGGGCGCTCCCTCACTAGACAGAATAAAGACTTGGTAAGATATACAGGAAGTAGATGGATGCAGGTAGCTCAGGACCGTGCTTTGTGGCGTTCCTTGAGGGAGACCTATATTTGGTAGTTGAATTGTGAAGGGCTATAATAATTAAGAAGTACATATACCAAATATTGTTTACGCTACACGGTTTTGTAAGATTTTTTTTACTAAGTGTAAGGGCACGCACATGTCAGTCTAATATATTTTTGCAGAAAAGTAGAACTGCACCATTTATTGCATTTCCATTTAAAGCTAGTAGCTTTTTTATTTTGAATGCTAGCTGAGACGTAATAGTCCTACAAGGAACTTGCTTTTTTGTTTGTAGCTGCTTACAGAATTCCATCTTCAGCCACTTATCATCTGGTGAATTGTCACCTGTCCTGTCACTCTAAGGTTTTAAGAAAATATTTTTTGTTTTGATACTCTTTCCTGCTGAAGAAATACATATTTCGTCTTATTACAAAAAGTAGTTTATTATCAGTGGATGATATAGGTTGCTCAAGACCGAGCTTTGTGCCATTTTTTGGGGAGGCCTATGTCCAGAAGTAGACTTGTGATGGGATGTAATGATGATGGTGATTATGTATTAAGTTTGTGGCTTAAAATAGAGTCTATTTTAATAAAGAAGTTAAAATATGCAAACAATTTGGCAACAAGAGAACTTTTTTCGGAATTAAGACTGCTTTAAAACTATCAAATTGCAGATTATGCCAGTAAGTGAAATAATACTTACTGGCATAACCTGCCAGTCCCACTGTAAATAGTGAGTGCAACGGTACATGTAAATTGTATTGTAAAAAAAATTTCCTCTAGTGTCATTATCCAGGGATCAAACAAAGGAATATCTTTGTATGGACTAAAAGCTCATAGACATTCTCTTAAAACAACGAAAAATTAAACTAAAAAACTTTGGTTCAACAGAACTTGGTAAAAGTAAGATGATTTTGAAAAATTCCTATATATCCACAATATTGCATTTCAGCATCATTCATTCCATCCTATCAAAAGTCCACCGCTGAACATTTGCCATAGTGTCACGCTTGGCCGCCTGCCAACCGGTTGGCAACTGTAGTTTATACTATTTAAGGCATTATTAGAAAGATGTTGCCGCCAATCCTACGTTTCATTGCTCTTTGCCGGCTCTTACGACACCCATGGCATTATATGGGGTACTGAGTCTCTTACGCCGCCATTACACGGCGATACACCGACAACAATAATTCTAATATTTTACACTTGGTATAATTTTTATAGAATACGGGTGACAAACGAACACAAGGTTCACCTGGTGGTATGTGGATGCTCTGTCCAATAGACGTATGTACGTCTATCTTCGACAAAATGTAGATGCATTCATCAGTCACTTACATACCATAAAAGTCCGCTGTTGAACATTGCCTCCCCCATAGATTGCGTCGCAGGGAGCATTTTGCCATAGTTGATAAGCTTTTCGAGCGAATTATCAACCGTTGTTTATTATTATTATGAATTGTTATCAGAAAGGTGCTTTTTTGGCCATTACCTGTTTCAACTGCCCTCTATCGCCTCTTACGACACCCATGGGATGATATGGGTTAGTGGATACAGGGGATTACAGCGCCACTACATACTTTATCTTAGTATTTTTCTGATAGTTTGGTCACATTCCAGAAGCACTTCTTCGTTGTACATTTTCCGGTATGTTTAGAAGATGAGATTATTTTCATCAGAAAGTACGCAAAAAAATTATGTTGCAACCCAGCTCTTTTTAATATAGAATAAGTGTGACAATCGAGCACCCAGCTTATCTTATTGAAAGTGGATGCTGTGGTCCATAGATATCTGCTCTATTCAACATACTCTCTATCCTCTATTAAGAATCAAAATGATAGGACTAAGATGGAATACCTCCTTTCCAGTATAAAGGGTCTCCGGTTATCTATACTCACCATACGAAACGCAGCAGCATTGAGCTGCTATTTTACGCTCGTCAAGCGTAATATCTATCATCGTATATCTATCAAGCTGACTTATTCGTGCTACCACCAAAATATAGCTGCAGCATGGCTCTACCAAGTAACCTACTACGTAGCTCTACCAATGTAGTTATCTTATTTCTTAAACGTTTAAATAAACAATTAACACAATTTTATAATTTCGGTAAATATTGCTTATTAATATAAGTTTTGAGTTTGTGTATTGTTTATAAAGTATGATTTGTATGCGCATAATAAATGTAGACTAACCTAGTAGTGTAGAGCTAAACTAAAGCTTTGTTTATTGTTTACCAGTTTACCATACAGTAGTGATGTGTGTAGCTTACTTATAGTACAGCTGCATCATTGGTCCAGTTGTTGTAAGTTCGATTGCTATACCATGACCAGGTTCAAAGCCCGGGTCAGACCGAAGCTAGTTGTTGGGTTTGTATCTGTCAAGAAATTATCAGTAGCCGCTTGGATTCATGTAGTTGACGGTGTTTTAACTCCGTGCTTCGGAGAGTACATAAAACCGTTAGTTTAGAGTCTGATCTCTCTCAGTTCGTGTCGGATTCTCACATCTATGAGAGTGAGGGAATATAGAGAGCAGCTGAGATAGCGCATACACTCCCGCTCTATAATCCTGTCCAACGTAGATGGCTAGTCTCTGTTAAGACTAGCCGCCGTGACCGAATTTACGTGGAGATTATTATTATTTTTACTTATAGTGCATAAAAAAGGCAAAAAAAGAGCACACAATCCCTCCGATGGAAAGTTGATGCATATTGGTCACAAATATCTGCATTTATCCTCGATTCAGAATTGAAATGTGGATATATTGTCACTACTTAAGACTGATGAAACGCCTCGCTACCAAAGTACAAATAGTCACGGGTTCTCTTCACTTTTATACGTGGTAGAGCCTCGCTGCAGCTATATTATAGTTGTAGCACTAATGGCCGACCCATTAGTGCTCAACCGGGGAAGGAACACGCTCTCACAGAATACAATCGTAAAATAGCAGCTT